GGGTAGGGAGCCTGGCAGTGGGTCCAAGTGGAGTGGGACATCAGGTGATAGGAGAAGGGGTCCAATGTACAGGTGGGAGGCATCCTGGCCAACGAGGTGAGTATGGAGGCAGAGGCAACGGAAGAAGAGTTCAACATCATGAAGGGATCGAAATTAATTGAGATGGGGGTGTAAGGGGATAAAGCTGAGGCCTTTACTTAGGACAGATCGTTCGGGATCAGAAGGTGGGAGGTCAGAGGGAATGGTGAGGATACAGCAGGGAGTGGGATTGGGGGGAGGGGTGGTCTCAGGAGAAGGCAAAGGGTGGGAGGTTTCAGGAGGTGGAGTGGTACCCAACAATCGCTGGAGTTTGCGATCCTTTGCCATCTACGAGAAAAAGGAGCAGTTCTTTGTTGAAGCACCACATGAGGCGATGGATGAAACTAGAACTGAGGACGAGGGCAGTTCTGCGATAACGTGTGGCGTCCCCGCCCGGTGAGAGTGGATCTCATGAAGCGACGAGAGCGGTGATCAGAAGAGCGTTGAGTTTGGCGGAGGTGTCTGTGATCCTGGGGGTGGGTTGAAAGTTGGAAGGGTGGAATTTAAGACGAAATCCATGTGGAATTACTTCGATATTTTTACAGAAATTCCATGAAACGTTATCTTGGTGTATGTTTCTCTGAGAATCAGATCAATTATCATTGTTCTCCATTATCATTTCTACTTGAGAGCAATTTGCAATTCTATTTTACTCGACATTTTTACAGAAATTGCATGAATTGTTATTTTTGTAATTGTTTGTGTGAATATCAAAAGAAATAATATTTTATTCTATATTTGTACATTAAACCACTAGCGATTTGACAGCATTGCAGAATTTACATTAAACGTTATTTTCATACGTATTTGTTTGGGAATAGTATACATTATCGTTTTACTCCACATTTGAACATTAAACCACTTTGATTTCAGTCGACATTTTTGTACAAATTCCATAAAATGTTATTTTGCTCCGTGTTTGTGCGAAAGTCGTAAGAAATATTATTTTACTACACATTTATACATTAAACCACTTGAGGTTTTATTTCGACAGTCCGATAGAAATTCCACGAAATGTTATTTTGGTGAATATTTCTGTGAAAATCAGAACAATTATCATTGTTCTCCACAATTCGACTTGAAAGCACTTTGCAATTTTTTTTGCTCGATATTTTTACAGAAATTCCATGAAACGTCATTTTGGTGTATGTTTGTGCGAAATTCAGATCAATTTATCATTGTATTCCACATTTCTACTTGAAACCACATTGCAATTTTATGTTACTCGACATTTGTATATTAAACCACACAAATGTAATCTTCTTTTTGTAAACCACTGCCCTTTTTTGTGTGGAAAATGCATTAAAAGTTATTTTCGTGCATGTTTGTGTGAGAATCATGTTACTTTTCTACTATCCTTTCTACTTGAAACCACTTTGCAATTATATTTTACTCATTTTTTTAAAAAAGCATTGAAAAAACGAAAACGAAAACAAAAACGAAAATATCGTTATATTCCGTATTAACCACTTGAGATGAGAAAGCACTCACCTTTCTGTGCAGAAATTTCATTAAACGACGTTTGTTTGAGAATCGAATGAAATATCGTTTTATACATAAAATCACTCGATTTTTTGCAGAAATGCAATGAAATTATTTTCATACGTATTTGTGCGAAAATCGTATCAAATGTTAACTCCACATTAATGCAATTGAGATTTGATATCTACATTTTTATAGAAATGCCATGAAAATTTATTGATGTGAAAATCAGATCGAATATCATTGACTTTCCTGCAGAACTTCCACGAAACATTATTTACGTGCATGTTTGTGTGCAATTCAGGACAGTTATCACTTTAATCCCTGAGGAACGCCACACGAGACGGTCCGGGGGCGAGAGGAGAAGTCTTTTGAGGAGCAGAAGTAGAGGCGGTGTGAGAGGTACCATCGGAACCAATTGAGGAGAAGGCGGTGGTGGAGGTTGAGATGAGAGGAGAGGCGGTGGTGGAGGTTTAGATGAGAGGAGAGGCGGTGGTTGCGGATTGAGAAGTACCATCTCAAATGGATTAATGTAGAAACGTGGGAGTAAAATAATAATAATAATAATAATCCTTGCATTTGATATAGCGCTTTCCACGTCGGGAGGAAGTCCCAAAGCGCTTCACTCTGCAAAGTGAATTGACTGTATATTTGTGGGCGAACGCGGCAGCCAACTGCGCACAGCAATGTCCCACAAACAGTCGTAGACCAAAAATGACCAATTTATCATTGTTTTGTTTTGGAGGGATTATTATTAGGCTCTGTGGGGAGTAAGGAAACTTGCCCAAGGCCTCGCCCTGACCTGCCGGGGATTGAACCCAGGTCTCTCGCCTGCAAAGCGAGTGCTCTAACCACTGAGCTACAGGACTCCATAAAGTCCACATAGAGAGAGACAGAGAGAGAGAGAGAGAGACAGAGAGAGTAAAATACAGAGACATAGAGAAAGACACAGAGAGAGAGAGAGAGAGACAGACAGAGAGTGAGATATAGAGACATAGAGAGAGACAGAGAGTGAGGAACAGAGACATAGAGAGAGACAGAGAGAGAGAGACAGAGAGACACACACAGAGACAGAGAGTGAGATATAGAGAGTGAGATATAGAGAGACAGAGAGTGAGAGAGACAGATAGAGAGAGATAGAGAAATATTGAGTAGTGTTATATCAATGATAAAATGATATTGGTTACGATGTTCGCCCAAACACGCACCAAAATAACGTTCAATGGAATTTCTGCAAAAAAGGCGAATGCTATAAAATCTCTAATGGTTTAAATAATAATAATAATAATAATAATAATAATAATAATCCTTCAATTTGATATAGCGCTTTTCACGTCTTAGGCTCTGTGTGGAGTAAGGAAACTTGCCCAAGGTTTTGCCCTGCCTGGAATGTCCAAATGTGGAGTAAAATGTTATTTGATACGAGTTTTGCACAAACATACACCACGATTAACGTTGCACAGTGGAATTTTAACACAAAAGGCGAGTGGTTTAATGTACCACTGCGGATTGAAATGCTACTTGAGACAATTTTCGCACAAATCGTCACAAAAATAACGTTACATGGAATTTCTGCAAAAAAGGCGAGTGCTTTAATGTGTAAATGTGGGGTAAAATATTCCGTAAATTCAATTTTCCCTCAAACAATCAGAAAAATAACTTTTCATGGGATGTCTGGAAAAATGTTGAATTAAATGAATTTGCAAAGTTGTTAAAAGTACAAATGTTGAGGAAAATGATGACCAATTCGATTTTCCCACAAACATGCACGAAAATAGATTTTTAATGAGTTTCTGGGGGAAAAAAACCAGTGTTGTCAAATCTGTCTAAATATTGAGTAAAGTGTTATATCATACGATATTCACACAAACATTTACAAAAATAAGTTTTTAGAGAATATTTGTAAAAATGTCGAGTAAAATATTATTGCAAAGTGGTTTCAAGCATAAAAGTAATACGATTCTCATACAAACGTGCATGAAAATAACGTTTAATGGATGTTACTGCAAAAAATGTCAGTGCTATCAAATCTCCAATGGTTTAATATACAATTGTCGAGTAAAATAAAATTACAATGTGGCTTGAAATAGAAATGTACAATTTATCAATGATAAATTGATCTGAATTTCATACAAAATAACGTTTCATGGAATTTCTGTAAAATTATTGAGTAAAAATTGCAAAGTGATTTCAAGTCGAATTGTAGAGTATAATTGTTCTGATTTTTATACAAACATTCACCAAAATAACGTTTCACGGAATTTCTATCGGACTGTTGATTGAGATCAAACCTCAAGTGGTTTAATGTGCAAATGTTTAGCAAAATGATATTTCGTACGATTTTCGCAGACACGCACATTTTATGGAATTTGCATAAAAATGTCACGTGAAATCAAACCTCCAGTGGTTTAGCGCTCAATCATGGAGTAAAACGATAATTCATGTGATTCACAAACATTCAGAAACGTTGACATCAATTTGCACAGAAACATAGTGGGAAAGCGAGAGAGAGACGGGGAGCGAGAGGACAGGAAGCGTTAACTAAATAAAAGGACAAGGAAAGAGATTCAATGTGAGAGCCATAGTCACAGTCACAGTCACAGCGTGAGTTTGAGGCCAATCTGCACGTTATTGGCTTTCTCAGGAGTCTCCCCAACTGTTGTTCGGAAAGAGATCCGAACAGTCACAACAGTCCTCAGGAAATCCTGACAGAACCTTTCCCGAGAAAACCCGAGCGCAAGCACACAACCTTTTGAAATGGTTTAAAAGACTGCGGTGTCGAATTTAGCGTAAACTGGTAGAAATTTTGACCCGTAAAAAAAAATTGGCCGTTTCAGAATAGATGTGGTGTAAAGTAATACGAGTTCTGCACTAACATACCGCCCAAATACGTTCCGTGGAATATCTGTAAAAATGTCGACTGGAATAACATTTCAAATGATTTCAGTATAAATGTGGAGTAAAGTTACATTTGAGGCGATTTCTGCAAAAATATGTGGAGTTTGTGTCAAAATCTCGAGTGAATTAAAATGGCAATTGCTTGTGGAATAAAATGTAAAAATGTGGATTATATTGTCATTTTATTCGATTTGTGCACAAACATAACAAAATAGCACTTTATTTGTATTGCCACTGTCTCCTCTCATGAATTAATGGAATGTACTCCCGACGTAAATATAAATCATATTGTGAAGAATTAATATCTGGAGAAATATTAGCCCTCAAAAAATAATATACTTTAATCACAACTCTGCAGCTTGTCTAAAGATTATATCGTCTTCTTGATTCTAAGATAATAATGAATATTACAGAAGATTAGTTTGCAGTTATGCTTTGAAATACCACTGTTAATTTATCTTTACTCTAAGGGGATTATTTTTTAATTGATTTTAAAATAAGCTAATTTATTTATTGGACATCATAAAGCGTGATTTTCGGCCTTATTTCTCCTCTTCAGAACATTCCTCAGTTGGGAAAGCGGTGTCGGAACTGGGTGATGATTGATCGGTACCCAATCCTTGGTCAGTCTGATCTGAAGAATCATCATCGCTCTCTCCGGTGGCAGCTGCGATTTGCTCCTCCGCACAATCCTGATGGACTGTGATCTTGAAGGAAGTTTTCCGGGATCCGGAGTCTGAGTTTGACACGGATTCAGGTTCGGGATCTTGGAAGCGATTGCGCGCTCCCAGGATATATTTCCCCAAAACGCTGGAAGCTTCGTTAGATTTCCCGGCAGAGCCTCCGGAAGCCATGCTCTGTCGCAGGTGTTTGATTTCAGACTGAAGGCGTCCGACAAATGTGCTCAGGTCTGTGATACGGTTTCCCAGGTCTGTGAACAACCACAACACCAAATTATCACGTAATTATCGTTTGGAGAAGTCTTAAAACGCTTCATAGAATACACTGAAAGTGAATTGACTATATTTTGTGGGGGAAACGCGGCAGCCAAAGGCGCACAGCAGCGTCCGTCCCACAAACAGTTGTGGATTCAGTGACCAATTTATTGCTATTATTTTTTTTGAAGGAATTATCAGCCACGGAAAAGCGATCCGCCAGCAACCAGGTTCCTACATACTGCTTGTGGCGTGGCGTGTGTGTGGAGTCAGGAAACTTGCACGACATTTCGCCCTGCTGGGAATCAAACCCAGGTCTCTCGCTTGCGAAGCGAGTTCGCTAATCGCTGAGCTACAGGACTGAACTACAGGACTCCATGAGCTAAATAGAGCAGAAGGTTAAGGTTTAACAGAGGTGCACAAAATTATGAGGGGTTTTGATAGAGCAGGCAAGGAGAAACTGTTTCGTCTGGCACTTGGGTCAGTAACCAGGACACATAGTTTGAAAATAATTGGCAAAAAACCAGAGACGAGGAGATTTTTTTTTTTTTTTTTTTTTACAGAGAGTTGTTAAGGTCTGGAATGCACAGCCTGAGAGGATGGTGGAAATATATTCAATGTTTAAGGGAATTAGATAGGCACTTGAAGAGGAAAATTTTGCAGGAGTATGGGGAAAGAGTGGGGACTGATTGGGTAGCTCTTCCAACGTTTCCACAGGCACGATAGGCCAAACGGTCTCCTTCTGTGACTATATATTATATATCATATGATTGTATTCTATCATTTGATATAGTACCTTAATAATAATAATCCTTGCATTTGATATAGCGCTTTTCACGTCGGGAGGACATCCCAAAGCGCTTATCACTTCTTCGAGACTTCTCAAAGCACTTAATTGTACATTCTATAAAGTGTAGTGACTGTGTGTTTTGTGGGCACTTTTTTTTTTAAAAGTGATTATTACCTGTGGAGTGAGGAAGCTTGCCAAACGTACTGCGCTGCCTGGGAATCGAACTCAGGTCGTCTCGCTTTTGCTTTTGAGATGAGGGCTCTAACTGCTAAGCTACAGGACTCCTCCAACAGGTTTGATGAAAGCTGAGCTCTCTTGCTGCCCTTGTTTCAAGTAAATAGTACGAGTCACTCTGACTGGATTTTCTGTTTCACGAGCCACCTCAGGATGTGTAACTCAATAAGAGTAATAACACTGAACGCTCCAGTCGAGGTGAGCCTACGTGTCGGCCTTCCCAACTCCTGCCTCCACCAGCTCCGGATCAAAAGCAAAAGCAGTACACAATATGCAGAGAAGTAAAGAAGTAAAATAAAAATTATGAGGGGTTTCGAGAGGGGAATGGGACGAGTTGGCAGCTCTTTCAAAGAGTTGGCATAGGCACGATGGCCTCTCTGCTGTAGGATTCTAGTGCTTCACTGACTGCTTTTGCAAAGGTGGCAAATGTTACAAAGATCCCTCAGACATCAGGAGGATTTTTTGCCCAGGAAAATGGAAGAAACACATTTGCTAATGATCACTCACGCACACTTGTCTCGCGCACACTTACTGATTATGTTTCGCACACGCTTAATTATCCTTGCATTTGAAATAGCGCCTTATTGCATCTTTGAGATGTCTTAAAGTGCTTTGCTGAATTACCGTAAAGTGTAGTGACTGTAATTTTGTGGGCGAAACACGGCAGCCGATGCACACAGCAGTGTCCAAGAAGCGGTTGTGGATTGAGTGACCAAATTATTATTATTTTTGGTGGGATTATTACCTTGAAAGCAATCCGCCAATCGGCTAACAAGGGGTTCCTACTTATTGCTGGGTGCAGAGTAAGGAAACTTGCATAAATCTCTCACACACGTTCATATCTCACATACACTCACCAACATGTGCCTGAAAGTCACACACTGAATGTCAAGAGAGACACCCTGACACAACACTCACCCTTCCTCTGTTTTTCTGCAAACTCTTGCCTGGATTGCTCGATGTATCTGTGAACCAATGTACTAATGACCTGGAGTCGATAAGATGCTCTTTTCTCCGCACGGAAATTGTCACTTTGCATAGGAACATTGGGCTGAGGAAAAATAAAATTATAATCCTTGCATTTGATATAGCGCCTTATCACGTTTTTTGAGATGATCAAAGCACTTCACAGGATATACTGTAAAGTGATTGACTATATTTTGTGGGTGGAACGCTGCAGACAGTCATGCATAAGAGTGGGGATTGAGTTACCAAATTATAATTTTCCCTTAAGGGATTATTTCCCCGAAAAGTGATCCAACAGTCGACTAACAACTGGGTTACTGCTACGTAAACAGAGGGGTGTGCAGTAAGGAAACTTGCCTAACTTTTCGCCGTGCCTGGGAATTGAACTCAAGTCCTCTCACTTGCAAGACGAGTGCTCTAACCACTAAGCTACAGGAACGCACAAAGTGACGCTAAGTGATGAGGGAACACCCCTCCAAGCACATTACAGATGTTTTGGAGGTAATTGGAGAAATACGACTTAATCGCTGGTCCGTAACAACTTGCACTCATATAGCGTGAGGACCATCCGACAACTGAAAGTCATCTCATACATAACCGTGTTCAAACCTTTGTAGAATTAAAAGAGGATAGAGAAAGGAAATTGAATGGTTGTGTTTTTCAGAGATTTATAATAACACATTTAATTTGGTGTCACATAAAACAATATTGGAAATCTTATAGCACATGGAGATAAAGATAGAGATACACGGATATAGTTGAAATGATAATAAATAATAATCCTTATATTTGTTATAGCACCTTATCACTTCTTCCAGACGCCTCAAAGCGCTTCACAGAATATATTGTAACGTGAATAGATAGATATAGATTTTGTGGGAGAAACGCAGCAGCCAATTGTGTTCTGCAGTGGATTTAGTTACCAAATTATTATTATTATTTGTTTATATTTTTGAAGGGATTGTAACTCCCGGAAAGTGAAACACCATTCATCTAACAACTGGGTTTCTACTCACTGCTGGGTAAATAGATGCGTGCGTGTGGAGTAAGGAATCTTGCCAAAGGTTTCGGCTTGCCCAGGAATTGAACCCTGGCCCTTACACTTCTGGGACAAGTGCTCTAAGGACACAGAGAAAAACTGAATTGGTTCTTCACTGTGGAATTGTATGAATTGTTTCAGTACTTACAATAGAGGTGGGCAGTGGAGGGTAGTCCTGTTTTGCGGATTTTATACAACACAATCCTCGCAAAATCCACCTAACATAAAACAAATATGATTAAAAGGCAACGGTTCTAAATCTTTAATAAAAATTAAAACAAGAATATCAATATTTGACAGACAATTTACCGAGAGATGAGGAAATATTTACTGCATCAGGTTGTCATTTACTCAAAAAAATCTTTTATTGTTTGGTTAACCAAATATCTGTGAATATTCTTCACAATAGACTCCAAACCATATTTCTGAGAGTTTCATATTTGTGTGGTTTCTATTTGCTCGTTTAAGTTTCCTCCTTTGGGGACAGGTAAGTGGGGTCTCTTTCGGGCCGAACCGGCTCTAAGGTGACACGTTTGGCAACGGAATGTCAGAACCAAGCCAGTCCTCTGCGATGGTCTGTCGTCCGATTCCTGAGCCAGGTGGGTCCGCAGTATTCCAGGGCACTGCTGAAGACAGCGCAGCCCAGCCCATCGGCAGGACCTGGAAGGGCAGACCTGGAGGCAGGGAATCCTCCCACTCAGCTCCTGTTAACCCTACGGCCGAAGCCCTAACAGGTATTGCTGGACAAGCAGCGGGAAACCTTGCGTGACAGTGATATCAATGACAACGGACGGGGGCATCGGGGAACAGCCAGGTTTCTTTGAGCCTGAGGACGTCAATATACACATCTATAATAAGATATGCCCCATCCCTCTCATCAAAGCCTCCCCAACCCCAGCTACACTTTCCACCACACTCCCCCCATGCCAACCCTTCTGATGGTGGGCTGGCCTTCATCTTTGAAACCACGTTGGTCTATCTCCCTACTCCTCTGGCTGACTGTTTCCAGGTAGGGGCGTTGAAGAGAAAGAGTGGAGGGACTGAGGAGGGAGGTGCTTGGGGAGGGTTGCAGATTGTAGGGAAAAATGACTGTAGGGATCTAAGTTGGGGGGTAGGAGAGTGTTGGGAATGGTGTGGATCTGGGTGAGAGAAGGGGTATTCCCTTCTGGAGGCAGTGAAGGGTCTTGCGGAGAGTTGGCGATGGGGCAGATGGGCTGGCTCCTCTGGGAAAACCGGAGCGTGCCAACAACATCAACAATTTGGATTTATATAGCGCCCTCCACGCCGGAGGGTGTCTCAGAGCGTGATGAGCATGGCGAAGGATGCCCAGGCTGGAGCACATGGAGGAGGTGGAAGAAACCAGGAGAGAGGTGAGGAGGATAGTGGGACAGAAGGACAGAGGTCGATTAGTGGAGGGTGGGGAGGGTTGCCTCGGATTGGTGACAATGACAACCAAAATGCGCACGCTGAGACTTGGAGCAAGCAATCAGCGTTGAGGGGCCTAGAGGAGACAACTCTGGGGGTGGGGGGGGGGGGTTGGAGAGAGTGTGGATAGAACTCATAGTCTTATTAGGTTAGACAGAGCCTCAGCCGAGTGAATAATGGTTTGAGAGATAGGAGGAAAGAGGTGAGAGAGGAATGGAAGAGGAGGGAGATTTCAGAGAGAAGATGTGAAGCACTTTCAGACGTCCTCCCGATGCGAAAGTCGTCTATACTGCGTCTCCTTTCCCGTTAACCTGAATTCCCACTCTCACCAAATTCCTATTGTAGAGTTATCACTCCGTTCCCAGCTTGCTCCGTTGGGAGTCTCTGCTCGAGTGTTAGCGGCTTAGTGGCAGACAGGCTACAGGCTACTCCTGGCTATGCAGTTACCTCTGACATTTTCAGCCCTATTTCACTTATGGAATCGTGGTTTAGTGTTTAACATCCCTGGTCGTCAGATGGCACCTTGTCGTTTCATATGTGCTCAACCCCTTCCAACACTGCCACAGAGAGGTGACTCGATTCCATATTGAAGTACAGAACCAACATCTGTGCCTCAAAGTGACCCTGCTCACCTACCCTTCCAATATCTTTATCTTTCTGTCCCGCACAATTACAGTGATCAATTTGTTTTGCATGTTTCTCGTTAAACATGTAAAATATCTGATTTGCAGCAAACTGAAAGCTTCTTACCTAAGTAGATAAAACAAACATTTGGGTGTTGGGATGATGTTGAAGGGAACTGGCAGAGTCAGCCCCTCCCGGAAATAGCAAAGGTAAAGCCTCGAGCGAGCAAATTTCCATTCAACGTCTGCATCATCCTGTGGAGCAACGCATGATGAGAACCACATGACTGGGCATTCAACAACTTCCTTCCTGCAGTTTAGCAGTTGCTAACACCCACACCCACACAATCATTATCACTCCTTACTACGTCCCCAGCCCGGCCCACCCCATCATCGGTGGTCGGGCCTTCAGCCTCTCTTCCCCCACCCTTGGGAACTCCATCCCACAGTCCCTTCATCTCGCTCCCTTCCTCACCTCTTTAAGGCCCATCTCTTTGACCGTGCCTTCAGTCACCCTCCTACACCCACCCAGCCTGCCCTCCACCCCTCCTACTCCCAACCCTCAGCTCGATCCAAATCCCTGACTGTCCAGCGCCTTGGCGTGTCTTTCCGACCTGAAAGGCAATGTGTTAATGTAATGTCTTGTTATTCAATAGCTCTGTATAAACACCAGAGTCACGTCTGTGCCTTTCCTTTCCTTGACTCTTATCTTTATCCCCACTTGTAACAATCTATTCGTTGCCTTCAAAATACAGAGTCACTAAACTTTCCAGGAAATCCTTAAAGGGTTTTGAGATGTCCTCCCTTGATGTCTAAAGTCTATGAAATTGTGGAATTGGCATGAGAAATGTTAACTTAAATACATACTAAATTCCACATGGAATTGGCAAATCTTCTAGTCCTTAAGAGAGCTTAGAGTAAAATATCTTTGAAATTAAGACTATACAGTATTTAAAAAATTACCAAATTCAGAAAATTAAAATGCCAGAGAAATAGTTTAAACCTAAATCCGTGTGGAAGCGATGTGCCAAATAGGTTCCCCCATGCTGACCATGTCTATGTTTTTAATAATAACCTTTCATACCTCTGTATGTGTTGCTTTACCTCTGAACATCTCTGTACATTGCTTGATGTATAAAACCCACTGGTGGAATTTACGTGTGCATTTCAGGGCTAAAATTCCATCTTAGAATCATGGAATATTATGGAAGGAGGCCATTCGGCTCATTGTACCTGTGCCGACCTTTTGGAAGAGCGACCCGACCCCTGCCCTTTTCCCATATTGCAATTTTTTTCTTTTCAAGTGCCTTTTAAGATTTTAAGATGTTAAAGATTTGTGAAGCCAGTTAGACCAAGCAGCTGATTGCAGAGAATAAGATCCGTTGTAACGCGCTCACCAATTGATCAACTTACCTCAATTTTCTGAAAGGAATTTGTGATCATGGCCACCAACATATTCAGCAAAACAATGACCATTACGATGGTGAAGATCCCATAAAGAACACGACCGACAACCTCAGCGACCATGAACTGTGAGAGGTCCACTGATTTAGGTTCCTCCATGCCGAACATGGACCAGAAGAGGAACTGCAGCGTCCCATTAAAACTACAGATACAAACAATAACAGTAAACCCTGCAGAGAATCACCACATTCAAAGCTTCAGACCACTGAGCAACGAATTGGACCACTCAGACCACTGAGCAACAAGTCATGGCTTCCCAGTTTCGCTCTGTCCTCTCCCGCCAGCAATTGAGCCTCTCTGCTAACCACAGCACAGACAGACAGCCGTGGTCAAAGTCTCACATGACGTTCTGTCCATCTGTGACACTTTGACACTGGTCCTTCTCCGCAGCCTCTCCTCTCAATTCTACCTTCATGGTCCTGCCTTAAACTTTCCCATCGTCTCCACTTTGTCTCCACAGAGGATTTAATGTTATTGTTTTGTGTCAATGCGTCTCTGTAGTATTTTGTGGCTGTGTAACTGTGTCACTGTGTGGCTGTATCACTGTTTCTCTATGTCACTGTTTGGTTGTTTCACTCTGTCACTGTGTGGCTGCATAACTGTGTCTCTCTATGTCTGTGCCTCTGTGTCACTGTCACTGTGTGGCTGTGCCGCTGTGTGGCCATGTATCTGTATCGCTGTGTGGCTGTGTCTTTGTGCTGCTGGGTGGCTTACACCATGTGTGGCTGTTTGTCTATGTTGCTGCGTCACTGTGTCTCTCTATGGCTATGTCTCTGTGTCCGCGTGTCTCTGTGTCTCTGTTTCACTGTGTGGCTGCATCAATGTGAGGCTGTGTCGCTGTTTCTATGTGTCACTGTGTGTCTGTGTCTCTGCGGTTTTGTGGCGGTGTCTCTTTGTCTCCCTGTGGCTGTCTCTCTTGGTTGCTGTGTCTCTGTGTCAGTGAGTGATTCCCACCCTGTGTCTCCATGTGCCTGTGCTTCGGTTTCACTGTGTGCCTGTGTTTCAGCGTCACTCTGTCTCTGTGGTGATGTGACTCAATGTGGCTATTTCTCTGTGTCCCTGTGACACTGTGTGGCTGTGTCTCTGTGTGGCTGTGATTCTGTGTGCCTGTGCCTCTGTCGCTGTTGGCTGTGTCACTGTGTCTCTGTGTCACTTGAGGCTGTGTCAATGTTTATTGCACTGAGTGGCTGTGCTTTAGTGTCACTCTGTGTCGCAAAGTCTCTGTGTCACTCTGTGGCTGTGTCGCTAAGTCATTGTGTGGTGGTGTCTCTATGTCTTTGTGTCGCTGTGTGTAGCTATTTCGCTGTTTCTATGTGTCACTATGTGGCTGTGTCACTGTGTGGCTGTGCCTCTGTGTCACTGTGCCTCTGTGTGGCTGTGTCTCTATGTCACTGTGTGACTGTGTCTCTATGTCACTGTGTCTCTGTGTCACCGTGTGGCGGCGTCAACGTATGTCTGTGTCTCTGCGTGTATCTGCTTGGCTTTGCGTGTCTCTGTGTGGCTGTGCGTGTGGCTGTGCGTCTCTGCGCGGCTGTGCGTCACATTGTGGCTGTGGCTGTGGTACTGCCTGGCTATGGCACTGTGCATCTGTGTCACTGCGCATCTGTGTCACTGTGCGCCTGTGTGGCTGTGCCATTTTTGTGACTGTGTCTCTGTGTGGCTGTGTGTCTCGTTGGCTGTGTCACTGTGGGGCTGTGTCACCATCTAGTTATGTCACCATGTGTCTGTGTCTCTGTGTCGTTGTGTGGGTGTGACCCTCTGTGTCTGTGTCTCCATGTTTTTGTGTCTTTATGTCTCTGTGTGGCTGTGTTCTGTGTGGCTGTGGCCGTGTCACTGTGTGTGGCTGTGTCTCTGTGTGGCCGTGTGTCTTTGTGTGTGTATCGCGCTGTGGCTGTGTCATTGTATGTCTGCGTAGCTGTGTGTGTCTGCATGGCTGTGTGTGTCTGCGTGGCTGTGTGTGTCGCTGTGTGTGTCTGCGTGGCTGTGTGTGTCGCTGTGTGTGTCTGCGTGGCTGTGTGTGTCCGTGTGGCTGTCTGCGTGGCTGTGTGTGTCTGCGTGGCTGTGTGCGTGGCTGTGTGTGTCTGCGTGGCTGCGTGTGTGTCTGCGTGGCTGCGTGTGTGGCTGCGTGTGTGTCTGCGTGTGTGTCTGCGTGGCTGCGTGTGTGGCTGCGTGTGTGTCTGCGTGTGTGTCTGCGTGGCTGCGTGTGTGTCTGCGTGGCTGCGTGTGTGTCTGCGTGGCTGCGTGTGTGTCTGCGTGGCTGCGTGTGTGTCTGCGTGGCTGCGTGTGTGTCTGCGTGGCTGCGTGTGTGTCTGCGTGGCTGCGTGTGTGTCTGCGTGGCTGCGTGTGTGTCTGCGTGGCTGCGTGTGTGTCTGCGTGGCTGTGTGTGTCTGCATGGCTGTGTGTGTCTGCGTGGCTGTGTGTGTCGCTGTGTGTGTCTGCGTGGCTGTGTCTGCGTGGCTGTGTCTGCGTGGCTGTGTCTGCGTGGCTGTGTCTGCGTGGCTGTGTCTGCGTGGCTGTGTCTGCGTGGCTGTGTCTGCGTGGCTGTGTCTGCGTGGCTGTGTCTGTGTGGCTGTGTCTGCGTGGCTGTGTCTGTGTGGCTGTGTCTGCGTGGCTGTGTCTGTGTGGCTGTGTCTGTGTGGCTGTGTGTGTGTGCGTGGCTGTATCATCCTGTGGCTGTGTGTGTGTGCGTGGTTGTGTCGTCCTGTGGCTGTGTGTGTCTGCGTGGCCCTGTCTCCATGTGACACCTCCCACCCGAATGAGGCCACACCACCTATCTACGCTTTCCATCACACCCCACAACCCAACTGTCATGGCAGTGGTGTGGCCCTCAGCTCCAGGCCCACACTGGGTCTAACTCTTACTCCTCAGGATCCTTCTCCACATTCGATCACCTCACTCTTTGCCATCCCTCCAATCTTTCCTTAGCAATCCTCCATGTATACGTGAGTGACACCCAACTATCTCGCAAGACAGAGGCCCTCTTGCTCGGTTCCTGGCAACACCTCCTCGCTTCGGCCGCTGACATGATCACTATTCATGGCTGCCCTCTTCACCTCACCAATACAAAACCTCGGTATCCTTTTTGACCCTCAGCCATCCTTCAAACCCCACATTCGTGCCTTGATTCGTCTGCCTTTCCCACCTCCCCAATATTACCCACCTCCACCACTGCCTCTCACCACAGGCCTCTGAAACCCTGATCCACGCTTTCATCACATCCCGGCTTGACTACACCAACTGCCTGCTCGCTGGACTTCCCACACTCTGGAACTCTATCCCACAATCCCTCCACCTCACCCCCTCTCTTGCCTCCTTCAAGGCCCATCTGAAGACCTTCCTCTTCAATCGTGCCTCCCTCCCACCCCTGCCCCTACTCCCCCTGCCCCTCATCCCTCCTGCCCCCAACTCCCAGCTCAGGTCAAAAAAAACCTGATTTCCAGCGCCTTGGGTCGTCTTTCTAATGCTATACAAGTGTAATTTGTTGGTGGTTGTCACTGAGGTCATGGGTACCAAGTTCTATGGACACTGTTAATGTGGAAGCGTCTATGTTATCGAGTGGTCTATTGCTCATTGAGATTGTAATTTGCATACTTTCCGAGACGATCCAGATCGACGTAGTGAACGTAAATGTTGTTAATACCACAGAGGAAAGCCGTCAGGATAATCATCAGCACGAACATGAACCTGGCAACGCAAAACAAGAATCTTTATTAAATAACGGAACAGGAATTTTATGTTGTCTAAAAACATTGTATTTTTGTAAGTATTTTATACAACAGTAACTAACTTTACCAAGAGGCAAGCCAGAATGCTGCTCGATGCTAAATAATACCATCATAATCATCTTTGCTTTGGATATAATAAAAATAATCCTTGCATTTCATACAGCTCCTTATCACGTCTTCGAGACATCTCATAGCGCCTCACAGGATATAGTGAATTGACGTTATACTTTGTGGGGAAACGCGGCAGCCAACTGTGCACAGCGGCATCCCACAAACTGCCGTGGATTGAGTGACAAAACTATATTTAAAAAGCTTTTTTCTTTTGAAGGGATTATTACGCCCGGAAAGCAATCCACCAATCAACAAACAACTGGGTTCCTACTCACTGCTGGGCAACGGGCATGTGGAGCAAAGAAACTTAACCAACAGTCCACCCTGCCCAGGAATCGAACCCAGGTCCTCCAGCTTGGGAGGCCAGTGCTCTAACCACTAAGCTACAGGATTCCACAATAAATATACAATAAATTAACAATATAACTCGTTTTTATCTGATAAATCTTTGTTATCTAATACACACCGATTACAATGCTTGTTTTACCTCATCATATCGTCAATCATTTTTCCGATGGATATCTGGAGGGTTCCCAGGGTCTCATGAGCGGGCAGTATGGAGGTGAGTCGGGCTAGACTCAGCATGCTGGTGATGGCAAACAACACCTCCGCCAGGATCTGAGGATCTTCTTGTTGCCAAGTGTGTCTGTCTAAAATTGGGAAGGTTAGTAGTTAGGTCTTCACATCTTCAGTAGTTACACAAAGCTTTGAAAGCTTAACCGTTCAGTACTTCCAAGCATCCTGTATTTAACATTTTATAGAATCTTACAGTGTAGACGGAGGCCCGTCAGCCCATCGTGCCTGTGCCGGCTCTTTGAAAGAGCCACCAAAAGAGCCAGTCCCACTCTCCCGCTCTTACTCCATAAACCTGCAAATGTGGCCTTTTAAGTACCTTCAAGATCCTCATCCTCACCTACAAGGCCATTCACGGCCTCACTCCCTCCTCCCTCTCCGACCTACTATCCCCCACGTACCTGCCCGTACCCTCCGTCCCTCTGGCTCCGGTCTGCTCCACATCCCCCGCCCCAACCGTCCTACCATCGGTGGCCTTCAGCCTCTCAGCCCCGAGGCTCTGGAACTCCATCCCCAGTGCCTTCGCCGCTTCCTCCCTTTCCTCCTTCAGGGCCGGTCTCAAGGCCTTTCTCTTTGACCTTCAGCCTTCAGCTCCCCTCTCGCCTCTCTACCTCCTCCTCGCTCCCTCCCTTCCCTCCCCTCCCCCTGACCATTTCCCCCCTCCTCGCTCCCTCCCTTCCCTCCCCTCCCCCTGACATTTCCCCCCTCCTCACTCCCTCCCTTCCCTCCCCTCACCCTGACCATTTCCCCTCTCCTCGCTCCCTCCCTCCCCTCACCCTGACCATTTCCCCCCTCCTCGCTCCCTCCCTCCCCTCACCCTGACCATTTCCCCCTCCTCGCTCCCTCCCTTCCCTCCCCTCACCCTGACCATTTCCCCCCTCCTCGCTCCCTCCCTTCCCTCCCCTCCCCTGACCATTTCCCCCCTCCTCGCTCCCTCCCTCCCCTCACCCTGACCATTTCCCCCCTCCTCGCTCCCTCCCTTCCCTCCCCTCACCCTGACCATTTCCCCCTCCTCGCTCCCTCCCTTCCCTCCCCTCACCCTGACCATTTCCCCCTCCTCGCTCCCTCCCTCCCCTCACCCTGACCATTTCCCCCCTCCTCGCTCCCTCCCTTCCCTCCCCTCACCCTGACCATTTCCCCCCTCCTCACTCCCTCCCTTCCCTCACCCTGACCATTTCCCCCCTCCTCGCTCCCTCCTTTCCCTCCCCTCACCCTGACCATTTCCCCACTCCCCAAGGCTCGGGTCCTGACCCAATTGTACAGCGCCTTGGGACGTCCTCCCGACGTGAAAGGCGCTCTATAAATGGAATGTTGTTGTTGTTGTTCCTTTCCAATTCCCTTTTGAAAGCTATTATCAAATCTGCTTCCATCACCCTTTCAGGCAATGTATTCCAGTCTGTAATTTTCTGGGGGTAAAAAAATATCTTTCGTCTCCCCTCTGGTTCTATTGCCGGTTATCTTAAATCTGTGTGCTCTGGTTACCGACCCACCCGCCAGAGGAAACAGTTTCTGCCTGTCTACTCTTCAGCAATACAGGTTGACCATATATATATATAAAAGGGTTGAGATAGATGATAGAAGTGGGCTGACACGAGCAAATGTCATTTAGTGTGCATGAGTTTAGAATGATAAGCAGTATAAACAATCAGAATCTGAAATGAATCGCATTAGTCTCCCAAGTGTGACTGTATGAATACCCACCGGCCTCTGTGAAGTAGTAACATTCCAGAGAGCTGTGGTTTGTTGAACAATAGAGTTGTCCACTCACAGTGACCACCAAGCGGAGAGCAAAGGAGGACAGGTACATGCTGAGGATGACTACGTCCAGGAAGTTCCACCAATCTAACAGGTAACTGCGTAAGCCTTCAATCCACACTTCCTTGCACTCATACCAAAAGAAACCTGCGGACAGGAGAAAATCTTAGCCCATCAGATCTCAAACAATGACTTGCTTGCTGGTTGGTCCTCAGAACAAACACTGAACTGAAGTTATATAATAATAATAATCCTTACATTTGATATAACATCTTATCGCATCTTCAATACGACTCAAAGCGCTTCACAGAGTGAAGCTACTGTAGAGTGAATTGACTGTATATTTTGTGGGTGAAACATGGCAGCCAATTGCATGCAGCAGTGTCCCACAAACAGTCATGGATTGAGTGACAAAATAGTTTTTTTGGGGGAGGGATTATTACCTCCGGAAAGCGATCCGCCAATCGACTAACAACCAGGCTCCTACTTACCGCAAGGCGGATAATAATAATAATAATAATAATAATAATAATAATCCTTGGATTTGATATAGCGCTTTTCACGTCAGGAGGACGTCCCAAAGCGCTTCACAGAACACACTGTAAAGTGAATTGACTGTATATTTGTGGGAGAACGCGGCAGCCAATTGCGCACAGCAATGTCCCACAAACAGCCGTAGATTGAAAATGACCAATTTATTATTGTTTTTGGTTTTGGAGGGATTATTATTAGGCTCTGTGTGGAGTAAGGAAACTTGCCCAAGGTTTCGCCCTGACCTGCCTGGAAGCAGGTAGAGTAGGGAAACTTGCTCAACGCTTCACCCTGCCCGGGAATCAAACTCATGTCCTCTCGCTTGCGAGATGAGTGTTCTAACCACTGAGCTACAGGGCTCTCCAAGTCATTAGTTGTCAGGGAAATAATCCAAACTTCAACAAACTGTCTGACCTAATAATTATACCAATTATTTGTATATTAGCAGCTCTGCAGATCTGGAAATGTAGCTGACAATGAGAGGTGGCTCACAGTATCTCAGTCCTCAGTGAGGATGTCTTGGCAATTCTAACATGTATGGAAACACCTTTAGCAAAGAGAGCTTTTAGCTTTCCGTTCAGCGAGAGGTCCGTGGCCTCATCTGTTTGTCAACGTCTATTGTTTTACTTCCATTCCATCCCTATGCCCCTATCCATATATTAAGTTATTATACACCTCCTAGTTTTAATCTTATTCATCTGTACTAAAGTTTATTGGTTAGAGATCAGCTTGTTACAAACCCTAACTCCTTCTCTGTGTAAGACCTTTGCTGCCTCCGGTGATCCCACAGTTCCCCCCCAACTTGGTGCCATCTGCAGATTAAGCTGAAGTAGAGTCTATAAATGAATGTCTTCAATATAATAAAAATCCATACATTTGGTATAGCACCTTATCAATTTGTTGAGATGTCTCGAAGCGCTTCATAGAATGCACTGTAAAGTGAAATGACTGTATTTTGTGAACAAAATGCGACAGCTAATTGCATCCAGCAGTGTCCCACAAACAGTCGTGGATTGAGTGATTATATATATTTTAAGGGATTATTACTCCCGAAAAAATGATCTGCCAATCGATTAACAACTGAGTTCCTACTTACTACTGGTAAACAGAGGTGTGTAAAGTCAGGAAACTTACCCATTTTGCCCTGCCCGGGAATCAAACCCAGGTCCTCTCACTTGCGAGGCGAGTGCTCTAACCTTAAGGTATAATTATAATAATAATCTTTGCACTCGATATAGTGTCTTATCACGTCCTTGAAACGTCTCAAAGTGCATCACAGAATAGACTGTAAAGTAAATTGACTGTATAATTATGTGGGCTAAAGTTAAACCGAGGCCCCTTCTGCCTGTTCAAGTGGACGTTAAAGATCTCATGACATTATTCGAAAAGAGAAAGGAGTTTCTCTCCCCCGGTGTCTTGGCCAACAGTCCCCCAAATAAAATCGGTCATTTGTTTCACAGCTGTCTGTGGGACAATTGTGCCATCGCACTTACCCAAAAATACACAGTCACTCCATTTCACAGTAAATTCACAGCAAAACTATGGGACTGCACTACAGTCCAGCTTGTCTAGATGTCAGCCAAGAGGATACTGTGACTCACCAACGACCCAGATCATATGAAAGGAGTTCTCTTGTAGCGGCTGTTTTCTGGATGCAGCAATGTCCCTGTTCTCCTGAGCCAGAATAGACTCAACAATAAGAAACACTAGGAACCAGACGTAGGAAGATGAGTGAAGAAGAAACTTAATGACTGGTGTTCTAACTATTTGTCCAACCTGGAAAGTAAACAGTCAAAATGAAGGCATGTTATATAGGAACTGAACCAAAGTACCATGTAGAAGATAAGTTCATCTCCATTGGCACTAAATTGGCAATCTGTGGAGAGATAATAATAATAGTAATCCTTGCATTTGATATAGCACCTGATCACATCTTCACAACGTCTCAAAGCGCTTAATAATCCTTGCATTTGATATAGCGCTTTTCACGTCGGGAGGACGTCCCAAAGCGCTTCACAGAATATAATGCAAAGTGAATTATATGTTTGGTGGGTGAAACGCGGCAGCCAATTGCGCACAGCAGCGAACCCACAAACTGTCGTGGATTGAGTAATCAAATTATTATGTTTTTATTACCGCTGGAAAAACGATCTGCCAATGAACTAACAACAAGGTTCCTACTTACAATATGCAATCGAGTCCCTACCAACAGAAGCTTATTTGTATTTGCACTCTGGCTCATTGCATTTCATTGCCACATTGAAATTTTTCCACAATGTTTCACTTCAAGTCTTTATTAGTTTATTTTTGCTAATGGTTTCTCCTCCTTCCCCTGCCCGGGTTACCTGTGGTGTACCCCTGTGCTCCATCCTTGGTCCCCTCTTCTTCCTTATCTATATGCTTCCTCTTGGCGATGTCATCTGCAGGCACAGGGTAAACCTGTGGATCTAAACTCCTCAACCTCCCTGAGTTCTCCCTCAGACTCACTGAACCAGCACACAAACTAGGCATCCAGTTTGACCCCCAGCTGTCCTTATGCCCCAACATCCAGTCCCTGGCCAGGACTACCTTCTTCCACCTCCGCCACATTGCCAGTCTCCAACCGTACCTTACCCTAAATGCAGCCAAAACCCTTGTGCATGTGTTTGTCACCTCCCGCTTGGATTACTCCAACGCACTCCTCGCCGATCTCCCCAGCTCCACCATTCACAACATCAGCTCATTCAGAACTCTGCCGCCTGCAGACTGACCTGAACCAGATTCTGTACCCACATCTCACCAGTTCTGGTCCAGGCTCCACATCACCTAACAGATCAACTTCAAGATCCTCACACTTATGTTCAAATCCCTTCACTCCCTGGCACTTCCCTACCTCTCCAATCACCACTCCCCAATTCACCATCCGGCACCTCTGCTTGACTGGCACTGGCCTCCTGCTCATCCCTTCCACCCTCCGCCCCATCATCGGAGGTCGTGCTTTCAGCCACTATAGCCCAAAACTCTGGAACACTCTCCCTCAATCCCGCCACCTTGGCCCTCTCTCCCCCTTTCAAGTCCTGCCTGAAGACTTTTCTTACGGCCACATCCCCCCGGCTCAGAGTCAGGCTCTGGGATGCTACCCTGCATGGAGTGTGCTATATAAGTACAAGTTGTTGATGTATGTATGCATGCATGCATGTATGTATGTATGCGGATGACACACAAATCTACTTCTCCAGCTAAAACTCCAGGTCCCCCGATGTTCTCTCGGCTTGTCTGGGGTACACCAGGGCCTAGATGAGTGAAAACTTCTGCAGCTAAATGTTGACAAGACGGAAGCCACACTCGTTGACTCCTGCTAACATCTTCTGTCCTGTCCCTCAATCTCCTCAGGAACACCTTCCTTCACCTCCGCCACATTTTTACAGGTAGCTGTGTGCTGTGTTAAGAGACTACGTGCTCTGGTTGTTTCTGGACACAATTGTGTGGACGCTTCCCAAAGCTTGAGCTGATTTTCAAAATGTAACTCCCACTATTTGTGAGGTTTGCAATAGGTATATTCTCTACATTGAAATGCCACACAATAAAGAATCCAATGTACAATAAAGAATCTCCTCTGAGCTAAGGTAGAGACATCTACCTTGATAAATGTGGTCACTCAATCCATGACTGTTTTTGGGACACTGCTGTCCGCAATTGGTTGCTTCGTTTTGCTCACAAAATATACAGTCAATTCACTTTACAGTATGAAACAAAAACAGAGAGCTGGGAACACTCAGCAGGTCAGGCAGCATCTATGGAGAAAGGAAAGCGAGTCAACGTTTGACAAAGGGTCGTGGACCCGAAACATTAACTCACTTTCCTTTCTCCATAGATGCTGCCTGACCTGCTGAGTGATCCCGGCTCTGTTTTTGTTTCAGATTTCCAGCATCGGCAGTATTTTGTGTTTTGTTCACTTTACAGTATATTCTGTGAAGCGCTTTGAGACATCTCAAAGACGTGATAAGGTGCTGTATCAAATGCAAGGATTATTATTATTATCATCTCTGGACTAAAGTAGAGACATAATAAGAGGAGCTGCTTTGAGCTACACAACCAAACAACAACAACTTGTATTTATATAGCACCCTTCAGAATGACTCAGAATGCTTGAAATCTCAAACTTTGCAACAGAGAGAGATTTATGTCTGAAAACAGTAACAGCTGAAATTAAAGGATGTTGGACTGAAAGGAACATGTTCCCAGGCCTACCTGTGACCGATGATGGCCATTGTACATAGTGATGTGTAGTTTGTTAACACCAAGATTAACTCGTTATATATTAGCTCTGTGTAAAAGCCTCAAAAAAATAGAAATTGAAAAGAAAAATACCTCTGCTCCAAACCCCACCTGTCAATGAGGAACAATTAACAATTTTACTCCAATGATCGCAAAAAAAACCTCACAAATTTGGTACTTATTTCAACAAAACACATCCCACATTTTCTCCCAAATTCTGCTACTTACAAATTATTTTGCCAATGGAGAGTTGCGGGGAATTTAGCTTTATAGTTTCCTAAAATAGTGAAGATCGCAGAATATACTGTAAAGTGAATTGACTGTATGTTTTGTGGGAGAAACACAGCAACAAATTGCACACAGCAGCGTCCCACAAACTGTCATGGAATGAGTGACCAAATGTTTGGGGGGTGATTTTCTTTTTTGGAAGAGATTATTACCCCTGGAAAAGCCAAACAACCAATAACGGGTTTCTACTTACTGAGGGTAAACAGAAGCTTGTGGAGTAAGGAAACTTGCCCAACAAATCGAACCCAGGTCCTCTCACTTGCTAAACTACAGGACACCACAATAATCTACAATAATCCCACTTGGTTGTGTTTCCCCATGTGAGCACCAGTGTGCACACATAGACACACACACATACACAAAAGCCAACATGCTCTAGTCTGTACCTTGCATTTGGGCGCAATCCAGTAGATGAGGCAGAGGATGGGCATTGTGATGAAGGTTCCTGTGGAGATGAATATTTTCCAGATGGTTTTGCTGCCTCTCCACCAGGTCAGGTTCCCACACCAGATAGACGTCAGGACTTGCTGGCAGATGGGATGAGCCACAAACTGAGGAGATTTAAAACATGAAGCAGTTTAAATATCCAGCACATGATTGACAACAAAAAGCAAAGCCTCAGAATTCCTGTGATCATTTTCTACAGCCTCACATTTCCAATGGCACATACTTACAACAAGGATAAAATATTAAATATTATTAAATTATAGTATATACTATATTAGTATGTTATATATATTAGTATATTATATGTATTATATTATATACTATATTATATACTATATTATATGCTATATTAAATGCAAGGATTATTATTAATAATAATAATTCACATTTATATACGCCCTTTATCAGGGTAGCATCTCACAGTGCTTGGCCGTGTCACTTTACAGGACAATTCTGACACCTGACAACGAGCCGGGGGGAAAAGGGGAGTTATCTGTAAGCACTGTCAATGAGAAATATCTTCAGTCGTAATCGAAAAGAGGGTAAGGAGTGTTTCAGAGTTTAGTAGCTGAAAGCACAGCCACTGATGGTGGGTACGAGGAACATACAGGAGGCTGGAGCCAGCCAACGAAGGCAGCAGGTGGTGGGTTGGGGGTTAAACAAGTTGAAAAGGTAGGTAAGTGCCAGAGCATGAAGGGATTTGTAGATGAGTGAGAGGATCTGAAATCAATCCGTTCTGTGATAGGGAGTCAGTGGAGCCTGGCGAGGACTAGAGTGATGGGGGTACGGAGTTTGGTACGTGTGAGGATATGGGCTATGAAGTTTTGAATTAATTGGATTTGATGAATGGTGGAGCTGAGGAGACCGGAGGAGGCCATTGGAATAATTGAGGCAGAAGGTGGTGAAATTTTGGACAAGGGTTTCAGCTATGTTGGGTGTGAGGTACAGTCGGAGGCAGGCAATATGGAGGTGGAGGAAGGCAATCCTGGTCAGGAACAGGATGTGGGGTGGGTAGGACAGCTGTGGGTCAAACCTGACGCCCAGATTACATACAGATTGAATACAGGCTGAGGGATAGGCACGGGAGGTTGAGAAGCTCAGAGGTGCAGGACAGAAGACGTGGATGGGAGCTAAGGAGGATGGCTTCCATCTTGTCAACATTCGGGTGAAGAAAGATTTTGCTCATCCAAGCCATGATGTCTGATAAACTCAGACTCAATACTATCCCCATCTTGAGGTACATGGAGAGGGGTGGGGGCAAGTGACATCACGTTGGGGTCAGGGGATACCTCAGTCTGGTGTGTGTAAGTCTGTGGTATATGTACGCGGTGTGTGCTGTGTGTGTGGCATGCGCGTGGTGTGTGTGTATGCGCGTGTCTGTGATTTTGTCTGTGTGTGTCTTTGTCTGTGTATGGGGGAAGTGCTTCATAGGATATACTATGTGTTTTGTGGGTGATGTGGAATTGAGGAGGTTGGGCTAAACGCTCTTCCAGCTCAAACACTCCAGAGATATGAAGAGCAGCAACTGAGGTGAGACACATGGTGTTGGATACCCCGTAAGAAAATAAGGACCAATTAACTGGGAACCAATGAAAGGAGATCAAGAGGTAGAAAGCAGGAAGCAGGAGGAGCTGACTGGAGGGTTGGTTGATTTGTGTATTGAGAACTGAGAATAAAATATTATTTATTCATTTTGAGTGATGACAGTATAACACAGTGAGCAGGACTGAGGTTCCACATTACCCTCTTCTGGTTGTAGTTCACAGCTAATCGAAGCCGGGCGAGGTCAGGGATCCCTTCCTCAAAGGCCTGGTTGTCCAACTCATCAGCGTTGTCATCCCCACAATCATTCAGAACAGCCGTAACTTCACTCTGATTCCGACACATTCCCAGCAGCTCAACTGCCAAGTCTTGACACAGGTCCTCCAGGGTCAGGTACTCAGGCTAAAAGACAAGCAGCCTGGCACTCAGCAACATCAGGTAATTACACCTCAACTACCGATTCAATATTAATCCTAAAATATTTACTGTAATAATAATCCTTGCATTGATATAGCACCTTGTCTATATCTTCGAGACATCTCAAAGCTCTTCAGAAATACTGTAAAGTGTAGTGACTGTATTTTGTGGGTGAAATACAGCAGTCAATTGTGCACAGCAGTGTCCCATAAACAGTCGTGAATTGAGTGACCAATTTTTTGGGAGGAGGGATTATTACCCCCGGAAAAATGAACCCACCAATCAACTAACAACTGGGTTCCTACTTACATAAACAGAGGCACATGGAGTAAGGAAACTTGCCTAAGGTTTTGCCTGCCCGGGAATAGAACCACTTGCTTGCGAGACGAGAGCACTCTAACCATCGAACTACAGGACTTCGTCCCAATGGTGGTGTTGTGGGAGGAGGAGACTGAGCCAAGCTGACCTGGGGAGAGAGTGTGCACTCCATTCCAGGATCGTTATATCATAAATTACCAGTTGGCGGGTTTGGAGATTCTTAAGCCTGGTGTAGGGATTCTGTGTGTGCGAGTGCTCCGACTGACCACTCAGCAGTAGAGTTGTGGTAAGGGTGTGGGACAGTTGAAAGTTAGATCGAAGATCTTGAAGCCAAGCTGCTCGGAATCTGGACGTTCAGCGCTTGGGGAATTCCTCCCAACATGAAAGTCACTACGTCAATATCAGTTGCGGAGTCCTGTAGCTCAGTGGTTAGAGCACTCGCCTTGCGAGCGAGACACCTGGGTTCAATTCCAGGCAGTTTGGGCAAGTTTCCTTACTCCACACGCCTGATAATAATCCCTCCAAGACAGAACAATAATAAATTGGTCATTTTCAATCCACGACTGTTTATGGGACACGCACTGCTGTGTGCAATTGGCTGCCATGTTTGCCCACAAATATACAGTCAATTCACTTTACAGTATATTCTGTGAAGCGCTTTGAGACGTCTGGAAGACATGAAAGGCGCTATATCAAATGCAAGGATCATTATTATTAATTGTTGTTGAATAGAAAGCCTGTGGTATACAATAATAATAATAATCCTTGCAGGTGAGGCGAGTGCTCTAACCAAAATGCCACCGGACTCTATATCTATAGGTGTTTGCAACAGCACGTTCTCAAAAATTCTATTAGATTAGCCTTTGAGAAGTCTGACTGTTTCTGATCAGGTCCTTTTCTTTACAGATGTTGGCATTATTTCCATTATAATGTCTCCAATTCTCTAACCACTAATGTGAGACTAATACAGGTTTAGCTTTTATAATGATAATAATAATCCTTCCATTTGATCTTGTGCCTTACCACATCTTCGAGATGTCTCAAAGCGCTTCACAGAATATACTGTAAAGTGAATTGACTATATATTTTGTGGGCGAAACGCGGCAGCCAATTGCACATACAATTCATGGATTGAAATTACCAATTTATTAGAACATAAGAACATAAGAATTAGGAGCAGGAGTAGGCCATTCAGCCCCTCGAGCCTGTTATCATTCAATAAGATCATGGCTGATCTTCTGACCTAGTCTCAGCCTTGAAAATGTTCAAGGACTGACATCTACAGCCTTCTGGGGGAGTGAATTCCATAAGTTCACTGCCCTCTGAGTGAAGAAATGTTTCCTCAACTCTGTTCTAAAAGGCTGACCCTTAATTTTCAGACTGTGACCTCTGGTTATAGATTCTCCTCCCGGGGAAACAGACCCTCAGTGACTACTTTATCAGCCCTTTAAGAATCTTATAAGTTTCAATAAGATTCCCCCCTAATTCTTCTGTACTCTGGAGAATACAGCCCCAGTTTATTCAGCATCTCCTCATAGGTCAGTCCCCTCATCAAAGGAACTAACTTTTTAAATAAGGACCAAAACTGCACACAATCCTCTTGGTGCGGTCTCACCAAAGCCCTATACAGTTGCAGTGAGACTTCCCTACTCTTGTACTCTAAACCTTTTGCAAAGAACGCTAACTGCCGTTCGCCTTCTTAGTTGCTGCTGCACCTGCAAACTACCTTTTTGGGACTGGTGTACAAGGACACCCAAATCCCTTTGAATACTAAGACTATCTAACTTCTCCCCTTCCAGAAAATAATCTGTTCTTTTATTCTTGCTACCGAGGTGAATAATTTCACACTTGCTAACATTGAATTCCATCTGCCACCTACTCGCCCACTCCCCGAGCCTATCTATATCCCGTTGCAATCTTTTTGCATCATCCTGAGAGCTCACTCTGCTACCAAGTTTAGTGTCATCCGCGAATTTAGACACATTACATTCAACGTCCTCGTCCAGATCATTGATGTAAATGGTAAATAGCTGAGGCCCAAGCACTGATCCTTGTGGCACTCCACTAGTTACATCTGCCAATTCGAGAATGATCCGTTTATCACTACTCTCTGCTTTCTACCCGATAGCCACTCTTCTATCCATGTTAATATTTTCCCATTAATCCCGTGGGCCTTGATCTTGAGTAACAGCCTTTTGTGTGGCACCTTGTCAAATGCCTTCCTAAAATCCAAATATACCACATCTACTGGTTCCCCCTTATCCAACCTGCTGATACATCCTCNAAAAATTCTAAAAGGTTAGTCAAGCATGACTTCCCTTTTGTAAAGCCATGTTGACTCTGCCTAATCTTTTTATGGTCTTCCAGGTATCCCATAACTACGTCTTTTATTAAGGACTCAAGAATTTTCCCTACAACTGACGTCAAACTAACTGGTCTATAGTTTTCCCTATTTTCTCTCCCACCCTTCTTAAATAGTGGAGTTACGTTTGCAATCTTCCAATCAATGGGAACTTTTCCAGTATCCACAGACTTTTGGAAGATTATAGACATGCCATCCACTATCTCAGTAGCCACCTCCTTTAAAACTCTCGGATGCAGGCCATCCGGTCCAGGGGATTTATCGGTTTTAAGACCCGACAATTTACCTAGAACCATCTCTTTACTAATGTTAATCTCCCTAAGTTGCTCGCTAACATTGTCTTCTTGGTCCTCTATTTTTGGTATGTTTCCAGTGTCTTCTACGGTGAAGACTGTAGAAAAATACTTGTTTAATGACTCTGCCATGTCTTTGTCCCCTATTATAATTCCTCCGGTCTCTGCCTGTAATGGACCCACATTCACCCTCGCTAGCCTTTTCCTCTTTATATATTTGTAAAAACTCTTGGAGTCTGTTTTTATGTTCTTTGCTAGTTTGCCCTCGTAATCTATTTTCTCCCTCTTGATCAATTTTTTGGTCCTCCTCTGTTGTTCCCTAAAGTTCTCCCAATCCTCGGGTTTACTACTCATCTTCGCTGTTTTATAGGCTTTTTCTTTTGATTTGATACTTTCCCTAACTGCTCTAGTTAGCCATGGCTGCACCACCTTTCCCATGGCATTCTTATTCCTCAAAGGAATATGTGCTCGTTGGGAATTTTGCACTATCTCCTTGAATGTCTGCCATTGCTGGTCTACCGTCAAATCTTTAAGTTTAGTCTCCCAGTTTATTCTGGCTAAATCCTCTCTCATACCAGCAAAGTTGGCTCGATTTAAATTGAAGACTTTTGCTTCAGACTTAACTACTTCCCTCTCTAACTTAACGCTAAATTCCATCATATTATGATCGCTTTGCCCGAGAGGAGCCTTAAGTTCCAGTTTGCTGATCAGCCCTGTTTCATTACACAAAACAAGGTCTAATATGGCTTGTTCCCTGGTCGGCTCCTCAGCATATTGATCTAGAAAATTATCTCTAATACATTCTATAAACTCCTCTTCTATGTTACCTTTCCCAATTTGGTTGTCCCAGTCTATGTGCAGGTTAAAATCACCCACAATTAGTGTCTTTCCTTTGCTACATGCTCCACTAATCTCTTGATTTATACCTTGAGCGATACTTTGACCACTGTTTGGGGGCCTATAAACTACTCCCACTATAGTTTTCTGCCCCTTGAAGTTACGTATCTCTACCCATACTGACTCTACATCTTGCTTTTCAGATTTAAAATCTTTCCTCTCTACTGTTTTTATCCCATCCTTTATTAGCAGGGCCACTCCCCCTCCTCGTTTACCACATCGCCTATCTTTCCTATATACCACGTAGCCGGGAATATTCAGTTCCCATCCCTGATCACCCTGTAACCATGTCTCGGTGATGGCTACTAGATCATACCGGTTTGTCTCTATTTGTGCAACTAATTCATCTATCTTGTTACGAATGCTTCGTGCATTCAGATATAGCGCCTTAATTCTGACTTCCGGCTATTAACCCTATTCACCAGCACTCTATCACTGTACTTCCTTTCCCGGCTTGACACACTTTGCTCTTCTCCCTTGTTAATCTGCTCTCTTGCTTTTGTTGATCTCAAGTTTAACTGTGGTGGACTATACTTTACTATGTTTTTACCTCCCCCCCCCTTAGTAGTTTAAAGCCCTTTCTACCTCCCTATTTATTCGCGTAGCCAGGACATTTGTCCCAGCCCTATTTAGGTGGAGCCCATTCCTTTGGAAAAGCTCCCATCTTCCCCAATACTCGTGCCAGTGGCCCATGAATTGGAATTCCTGCTCTCCGCACCACTCTTTTAGTCACGCATTCAGATCTATGATCTTCTTTTGCCTGTACCAATTAGCTCCTGGCTCAATTTATCTCCAGCCCGGCGGTGACATCCTTCACCCTGGCCCCAGGAAGACAACAGAGTCTTCTTGTCTCCCTGCTACGGCTACAGAAAACTGTATCAGTCCTCCCGACTGTCTCATCCCCAATAAGAATTACATTTTTAACCTCCTGCACAGGGGTGTTGGGGTCAGTTTGCCCGTCTTCCTCGCAGATTTCCTTGTCCACACAGGTTGCCAATATTTCATACCTGTCAGACAAGGCTAAAGTCTGGGATTCTTCAGCCCCTCTCTTTCGGGAACGCTTGCCTGCCCGCCTGACTGTCACCCAGTCATGTCCGTCGCTGCTACATTCTTCTGCCTTGGGACTCAGGGGAGTGTCCGGCTCCAGGATAAAGCTGTCCAGGAAGTTTTCTCCATCCCTAATGCTGCGCAGCGTCTCCACCTGAGACTCCAGCTCAGCTACTCTCAGCTGGAGCTCTCTGATTTCCAGACACTTGCGGCAGACGAAGTCGCCCGGACTTAAGGCGCCCTCCATTGACTCCCACATGTGACAGACCTCGCACTTTACCTGCCACACATCTTCACAAACTTTATATAGATACAAAGATATATAGCCTGCCCCCACTTCCCCCTCTGCTCCCTAATTCCCACTCTCACCAAATTCTCTCACACTCTGACCTCGCCTCACTCCGGACGTAGCTCACTCTGGCTCTCGGCTTGTATATTTTTTAAGGGATTATTAACCCCAGAAAAGCAATCCGCCAATCAACTAACAACTGGATTCCAATTTATTACTAAGTAAATAGAGGTGTGTTTTTGGAGTAAGGAAACTTGCCCAACATTTCGCCCTGCTGGGAATCGATCTCAGATCCTCTCACTTGTGAGGTGAGAGCTCCAACCGCTGAGCTACAGGACACCACATGAGAAATGATAAGGAAATTCTAGTAGTGGTTAAGAGCAGAATTCCCTGGGATTTGATTAACTCATGTGGAGAAAGGCCGAGTGATGTGTTTAATAATAATAATAATCTTTACACATTGGAAGGATATCTCAAGGATTTACTATAATTTGTACTGATTCTATAATAATGCGGGAGCCAATTTGTACACACCAACATTCCACAAACAATCATGAAATGGATCACCAATTTTATTTGGGGAATTGTCAGTCCTATCACCATGTTTAATGGTATCCAAACCAAGATGAGAATTCCACGCATCCCACCTACACATGGAGATCCCATAGATGGGTTGTTGGAATGGAATTTGCACTCGCTCTCTCTCTCCCTGGAGGGAAGTATCCTGTTTACCTAATTCCATAAAGTATCAGGCGCAGGTTGGTAAAAGCCAAGGCTTGAGGGGACTTCAGAGGGTGTGTTGGGGTAACTGCTGGAGTCTAACCAACTAAAACCTCATAGTTTGCCATTAATATCGCTGCCCGGCAAGCTCTTTCGCTGCTTGTCCAGCTAGGACCACCCCACCCATTAGGATTTTGGCTGCAGGGTTAACAGGAGCTGAATGGAATAACTCCCTGCCCTCAGTGACTGGTCTGCTCTTCCAGGTCCTGCCGATGAGCCAGGCTGGGCTGTCTACTGCGGACTCACCTGGCTCAGGAACCATACATATAGAGAAAATACTATTACTCACTGAGCCAGGCTGACACCTTTTATTCTGCTATAACAATGTATGATTCTAATGATCTGTTATTAGATTTTTTACTATAATTCTAATTCAGAAATAAATGTAATTTCCTACCTTAAACTCCGGCTCTTTCTTTGACAGTTGCTTGAGTTCTCTACTGAGTTTGAAGGCACTGAGCATGGCATCTTCATTGGCGATGGACAGGTAGGGTCTGCTGGCGAGACCTTTATACGTGTTCATGCGAGATAGTGAGAACTTGAGCATATCATACTGCCGTGCATTCAGGCACTCTGGGCAAGAGCAGGAGATCTTGTGAGGTGTGGCAATTATGTGGCCTTTCTTCATGAGGAGATCCACGATTTCAAAAAGGTTTTTTTGGCAGGCCAGGGTCAGGGGTGTCACACCGGGAGCAAAGCGGGAGCTGTCAATTGAGTGATCAAACAGCGCTAAAGAGAAGGACATAATGTCCACCTTATTGTGACTGGTTCCCTTCTCCTGGTCCAGCCTCTCCAGGAGCAGCTTCACCACACGCACCTGGTTTGTGTCGACAGCCACCAGCAAGGCCTCGTGGATCTGACGGAAATCAAACTTAACGCAGCGCAGTAATGCGGTCATTATGTCCTCATTGCTCATACGAATGGCCAGGTTCAGGGCTTCCCTCCAGGAGCGGTCTTCAGTGTCATCCAACTGCCGGAGAATCCCGTCGCTGGTCTGCAGAAGCTTATACACTTTGGCCAAATTCCCGTCATAAATTGCGGTGATCAGAGAGGGCGGAAACTTCATTTTCTTATTCGCGATTTCCCGCCAATTATCTTGCTGCAAAATTCAAAATACATAATAATAATCCTTAATAATTCCCAGCATTCAATATATTTACCATCAAGTCATCTCGAAGCGCTTCATGGGATTTTCAACACCACCACCAACAGCAACTCGCTCTGGCACCCTTCAGGTGGGGTAGCGACCCAGAGTGCTTGATAGTGGCAGAGTTCTGACCCCAAGCCAAGGGGGACAGGGAGGGGGAGGTGACCATAAGCATGGGAGGAGTGGGGGGGGGGTTGGGGGGCTCTTAAAATTAGAGCTAGGCCATTTAGGAGTGACATCAGGGCTGTTTTTCACCCAAAGGGCAGTGGGAATCTGGAATTCTCTCCCCCAAAAGGCTGTGGATCCTGGATCCATTCACATTTTCAAGACTGAAGTGGATAGATGTTTGTCAGGTCAGGGTATCAAGGGATATGGGGGAAGGGCGGGTAATTAGAGTTGAGGAACAGATCAACAGATTTTATAGAATGGGCGGAATAGGCTCGAGGGGCTAAATGGCCTTGTCCTGTTTCTATAAATATACTGGGAAACTGTATATACTGACATCATTCACATCTCTGCTGGGCAGTGGGTAGAGGGGTTAAGCAGTGGGAAGTGAGTAGAGGGGCAGTGGGTGCAGGGGCTGAAGGCAGCGCGGGCAGCGGGCCTGAAGGCAGCGTGGGCAGCGGGCCTGAAGGCAGCGCGGGCAGCGGGCCTGAAGGCAGCGCGGGCAGCGGGCCTGAAGGCAGCGCGGGCAGCAGGCCTGAAGGCAGCGCAGGCAGCGGGCCTGAAGGCAGCGCGGGCAGCGGGCCTGAAGGCAGCGCGGGCAGTGGGTAGAGGGGCTGGGCAGCGGGTAGAGGGGCTGGGCAGTGGGTAGAGGCACGTCTCAAAGCACTTCACAGAGAATCAATTTGCTCTGATTTATATATAAGGAAGTGAGCATGGACTGTGTTGTTATGGCGTAGTTTGGAGATCCCCTCTCCACACCCCCCCACCACCCACCCACCCACCCACCCACACACTCACACACCTGTACTAAGTGAATATAGTAGATAGTTAGCGTGGGTGTTTCGGTTCAGATGAGTGTCTGAACATCAGGAAACTCATCACTGTGCTTAAGAATCTCCAAACCAAGCTGAGACCTCCATGCATTCCACCTACATGTGGAAATTCCTGTGTATTGGAATGGGATACGGACTCTCTCCCTGGAGGAACCCATCCTGCTTACCTAATTCTGGAGAATATTAGGTGCAGGTTGGCAAGAACCAAGGCTTGGGGACCCCAGAGTGTGCTTTGGGCTAACTGCTGGAATATAACCAGCTAAAAACACTAGTTTGCCATTGAGAGTGCTATCTGGCAAACTTTCTCGCTGCTTGTCCAGCTAGGACCACCCTACCCGTTAAGACTGCGGTTGCAGGGTTAACAGGAACTGAGTGGGAGGATTCCCTGCCCCCAGTGATTGATCGGCTTTCCCCTCTCCCCAGGTATAATATAGGTAGACAAAGAAAGATAATAATAATAATAATCCTTGCATTTGATATAGCGCTTTTCACGTCGGGAGGACGTCCCAAAGCGCTTCACAGAACACACTGTAAAGTGAATTGACTGTATATTTGTGGGCGAACGCGGCAGCCAATTGCGCACAGCAATGTCCCACAAACAGTCGTAGATTGAAAATGACCAATTTATTATTGTTTTTTTTTGTTTTTTGGAGGGATTATTATTAGGCTGTGTGTGGAGTAAGGAAACTTGCCCAAGGTTTCGCCCTCTGCCTGGAATTGAACTCAGGTCTCTCGCTTGCAAAGCGAGTGCTCTAACCACTGAGCTACAGGAGATCTATAAGTGAATCATTTAAATTCTTAATTTGTTAAAGTTTTCAAGACAACAACAACTTATGCTTATATAGCGCTTCTCACCAGGGAAAAGTCCCACAGTGCTTCGTCATCAAGCCCTGGATGCGTGCCAACTTTCTCCAAGTTAAACGACAACAAGATCAAGGCCCTTCAGGTGCTGATCTTGAACTGGATCCTCCTCATTTCAGGCGTTGACAGCATCAATATTCATGCATACACACTGCACCTCACTGAGCCAGTCAGGAACCTTGGTGTCCTGTTTGACTCTCAACTTCCTTTAAACCCGACATTCGTGCCATAACCCAACAACAACAAATTACATTTAGACAGTGCCTTTCATGTCATGAGGACGTCCTAAAGTGCTGGATAGTCAAGGATTGAACCTGAGCTGGGGGTTGGACCTGTAAGCAGGTCATAGAGGTAGGGTAGAGCCTTGAAGGCAAGAACTAGGATTTTGAATTGTGTCCTCTGTGTGATGGGAAGCCAGTGGAGTCGGGCGAAGATGGGGGTGATAGGGTCGCGGAGCCTGGAGCGCGAGAGACACGGCTGCAGAGTTCTGGATGATCTGCAGCCTGTGGAGAGAGGAGTTGTGGAGGCCGACAATCAGGGAGTTAGCGTAGTCGATCCTGGATGTAATGTACTGTAAGATCCTTGTCCTCACATTCAAAGTCCTCCACCCATCTTGATTCCAACCCCCAGCTCGGACACAAACCCCCAGCTCGGACACAAACCCCCAGCTCGGACACAAACCCCCAGCTCGGACACAAACCCCCAGCTCGGACACAAACCCCCAGCTCGGACACAAACCCCCAGCTCGGACACAAACCCCCAGCTCGGACACAAACCCCAGCTCGGACACAAACCCCCAGCTCGGACACAAACCCCCAGCTCGGACACAAACCCCCAGCTCGGACACAAAGCCCCAGCTCGAGTGCTGAAAGGTTCTACATAAATGCAATTTGTTGCTGTTGGATAATAACATTCCTTACATTTGGTTTAATGTCTTTCAATCAATAACTGGAAATTAAAAACTGGACCTGATCCCAGAATGGCACAGCACAGCATATCCAGTGTGAAAGGCTATTGTGATAACAAGAAATGCTTGTGTGTGACATATCAGAGGATTTTGATGCATGAAAATAGAAATTTGTGAGTGCTAACTGGCAACAACAATAATTGCGGTCAGCACTTCCCAGGGCGAGTGTATGACCAGTGCTCGAAGCAAATGTCAGGGAGAAGATTCTTTTCTCAGGGTCACTCCTCCGGAAAACCTTAATAATAATAATCCTGGCATTTGATACAGCGTCTCTTCACGTCTTCGAGACGTCTCAAAGCGCTTCGCAGGATATACTGTAAAGTGTGGTGATTGCATATTTTGTCGGTGAAACTCAGCAGCCGATTGCACACAGCAGTGTCCCGCAAACAGTCATGGATTGAGGGACCAATTTTTTTTTTTTAAGGGTTTATCACCCAATATCGATTTGCTAAAAGCTGTCCAAATGGAATTAATAGGTACTTAAAACAGAAAGGGACTGGTTGGCAGCTCTTCCAAAGAGCCAGCACACGCTCCTTGGAATAATGGCCTCCTTCTGGGTGTAAGATTCTATGGTTCTAACGGGAAAACACACGGATTCATCTTTTTAAGACAAACGAGTGGATTTTCTTTCATCGTATTACCGCGCGCCACCATCAGATAGTGCTCTTGTATCACAAACAAGGTGTCATCGCCATCTCTGGTGATCAGCTATTATTAATTATTATTTTTAATCACTTGTATTTGCCGCCATTGTGTGAAACGATCTTTTAGCCGGAGGGGGACTCTGAACTGGTAATAAATTGCTCATAATAATAATAATAATCCTTGCATTTGATACAGTGCTTTATCACGTCATTCAGCCGTCTCAAAGCGCTTCACAGGATATAGGGTAAAGAGTATCGACTGTGTATTTTGTGAGCGAAACACAGCAGCCATTTCCGCACAGCAGTGTCCCACAAACAGTCGTGGATTTTTTCATTATTTTTGAAGGGATTATTATCTCTGGAAAGCGATCCGCAAAACGACTAACAATTGGATTCCTACTTACTACCGCTAAACAGAGACATGTGGAGTAACAAAACTTGCCTAACATTCCGCCCGGCCCAGGAATCGAACCCAGATCTCTCGCTTGCAAACTGCGCGCTCTAACCACTGAGCTACAGGACTCCACAAGGGCAGAAAGCTGGACTCGCACAGCACTGCAGGGGAACAGGTTAACCCTGTGAGACGGCATTTATTTCGTGAATAATCGGCGCTTGAATGACGATGGGACAAAGACAGGAAGAAAGAGTAGGTGATCGCAGATCACGTGGTACAATGGAACGTTAGTGCAGGTCAACAACAGAGACGTGTGCTGATACACAATCTTTCACCTGATAAACACTCAGAGCCCTTTCCAGGAACCAGGCAGCAACAACAACTTGCACTGAGATCGTGCCCCTCACATAAAATAACATCTCAGAGCGCTTCAGCGTTTTGCCGACAAAATAGTCACTACACTTTACAGTATATCCTGTTAAGCACTTTGAGACGCCTCAACGACGTGATCTATCATGTTATATCAAATGCAAGGATTATTACTATAATAAGCAAGTGCTCTGAGACACTGTCCTGTGTCAAGGGGGATATATAAATTCAAGTTGTTGTTGTTGTAAGATGATCAAAGAGGGAGATTGTTAGAGTTTGAAGGGAGGAGACAAGTCAGAAACTCTGGGTGGAAATTCCAGGGAGCAGGGGATGATGACTGGAAACTTGGCCCCCAATAGTGGGCATTAGGGATGTACAGCAGAGCGGAGGGAAAGATCAGGACAAACTGCGGAAGGCGGGTGGGTCGAGGGCACAGCGATGGCACAGCCAGAACATTAGATATCACCAATAATTGTAATAATCCTTGCATTTGATATCACATCTTCGAGACACCTCAAAGCACTTCACAGAATTCAAGATCCTCACCCTCACCTACAAGGCCATTCCCGGCCTCGCTCCCTCCTACCTCTCTGACCTACTATCCCCCTACCTACCTGCCCGTACCCTCTGTTCCTCTGGCTCCGGTCTGCTCCACATCCCCCGCCCCAACCGCCCGACCATCGGTGGCCTTCAGCCTCTCAGCCCCGAGGCTCTGGAACTCCATCCCCAGTGCCTTCGCCGCTTCCTCACTTTCCTCCTTCAAGACCGGTCTCAAGACCTTTCTCTTTGACCATGCCTTCAGCTCCCCTCTCGACTCTCCACCCCCTCCTCGCCCCCTCCCTTCCCTCCCCTCACCCTGACCATTTCCCCCTCCTCGCTCCCTCCTTCCCTCCCCTCACCCTGACCATTTCCCCCCTCCTCGCTCCCTCCCTTCCCTCCCCTCACCCTGACCATTTCCCCCCTCCTCGCTCCCTCCCTTCCCTCCCCTCACCCTGACCATTTCCCCCCTCCTCGCTCCCTCCCCTCACCCTGACCATTTCCCCCCCCTCCTCGCCTCACCCTGACCATTTCCCCCCTCCTCGCTCCCTCGCCTCACCCTGACCATCTCCCCACTGCTCGGGTCCTGACCCAACTGTACAGTGCCTTGGGACATCCTCCCAATGTGAAAGGCACTCTATAAATGGAATCTTGTTGTTATTGTAATGCGTAGTGACTGTGTATTTTGCGGGCAAATCACACAACTGCCCAATCATAAAGTCTTTGTGGAGTCTCTGTTGCTGAATCCACTCACCGTGAGACTGTCCATGGTTCGTGCTGTGTTCTGTCAGCCGCTGATGAATCCCGTTACTGGCTGCTCACACACACACGGTGTGGAGGTCTCCTCAATCTCCTCCTCACAAGCTCTGGTTCACAATGTTCATGTTGGCGATATCACCTCCAGTCTGGTCTGGCAGCTCCTATGACACAATCCGTCTGTTCCTAAGTGTCTCGATGACTTGTCGAACCTCTGTTCAATGTACTAATTGCTGGTGTGGACAGACAGATCTCCGTGCCTGTCAGTCACTTACCTGGCTTTCTTGGGGGAATGCTCTCTACCTGATAATTGGTGTAGCTCCTGCTAAACCAGCTGCTGACTCCCTACATGAGAGACTGAATCAATCCTCAAGAAACACATAAAGGGTTCACTAAATTAGGAACTAAGCCAACCAGTAAATTATCTGGAGAGAATTACACTTACAAGGTTGGTTTCTCTGGTCTTCGGATAAAAATCATTCATAGAAATATTTGGGTTTTTCCCTCTGTCACTCACTCTCACCTCTCTGACCCTCTCCCTCCTCTGTCTCTGCCTTTGCTGTCTCTCTCTCTTTCTCTCTCTCTCTCCTGTTAATTGCAAATTGTTGTTGTCTCCTCAGTTCTGGCCAATTCTGTTTACCACCAGTAACTGTTGATCACCTGAGGTAACAGGTTAATCACTGGCTCCACAGTCCTGTGGGAACCAGACCTGGGTGTGTGTCAGACATTACAAACATGTTGTTCAGCAAATACTTCAGAAACCCACATTGTAAGTTCATTCAATACAGGAATTAATTTTAATGATTAATATTAATGTAAGAAATATAACATAAGCCAAACATGTCATCCAGGAAACGTGCTGTTCAGCTCCTCCAGCTCAGAGCAGCACACAGTTTTTTTCCAACCTCCCCTCCCAGGAGAGGGGGAATGAGGGAGGGGGTGATGGAAAGGGGAGGGAGGGGGTGAGAAGGTAGAGAGAGGGGAGGGAGGGGGTGAGGAGGTAGAGAGAGGGGAGGGAGGGGGTGAGGAGGTAGAGAGAGGGAGGGAGGGGTGAGGAGGTAGAGAGAGGGAGGGAGGGGGTGAGGAGGTAGAGAGAGGGGGGTGAGGAAGGAGGTGGGGGGAGAGGGTGATGAGGGAGGAAGAGGGAGGGTGAGGAGAGAGGGAGGGAGGGTGAGAAAGGAGGGAGAGAGGAGGGACAGAAAAACAGGAAGGAGGAAGGGGAAGGGGTGAGGAGGGAGAGATGGGGGTGAGGAGGAAGAGAAGGGGGTGAGAGGGAGAGAGAGGAGGGAGGGAGAGGAGGTTGGAGCCAGAATGGGAGATGTTGCCAATGGCCAGGGAGGAAAGCTGGTGTATGCCTTCATCACCTCAAGGCTGGACTATGGGAACTCTCTCCTCGTCGGCCTTCCCGGCCCTCCCTCCACACTGCAGGTCATCCAGAACTCTGCAGCTCGTGTACTGTCCCCCACAGACACCGCGCCCACATCACTCCCACCCTCTCCCTCACTCTCACTCTCACCCTTGCCCTCGCTCGCCTCCACTGGCTCCCCATCCCCTAGAGGATCGAATTCAAGATCCTCACCCTCACCTACAAGGCCATTCACGGCCTTGCTCCCCCCTACCTCTCCGACCTACTATCCCCCTACCTACCCGCCCGTACCCTCCGTTCCTCTGGCTCCGGTCTGCTCCACATCCCCCGCCCCAACCGCCCTACTATCGGTGGCCGGGCCTTCAGCCTCTCAGCCCCGAGGCTCTGGAACTCTATCCCCAGTGCCTTCGCCGCTTCCTCCCTTTCCTCCTTCAAGGCCGGTCTCAAGACCTTTCTCTTTGACCGTGCCTTCAGCTCCCCTCTCGACTCGCTACCCCCTCCTCGCTCCCTTCCCTCCCTCCCTCACCCTGACCATTTCCCCCTCCTCGCTCCCTCCCTTCCCTCCCCTCACCCTGACCATTTCCCCCCTGCTCGGGTCCTGACCCAACTGTACAGCGCCTTGGGACGTCCTCCCGACGTGAAAGGCGCTCAATAAATGGAATCTTGTTGTTGTTGTTGTTGTATTTGTCACTGTGTAGTTTTAGGGGACCGCAGCAGCTAATTGGTGCTCAAACAGCCATGCAGTATATAACCAATGTTTATCTGGGTTTATTGGCTAGAACACTGGAGAACGTGCCGTGAGATCCTCAACAGCCACATGAACATGCAGACACCGACCTCAATGTCATGTCCCCTCAACAGGAGGGGAATTCAGGAGCAAATGGAACACAATAGCAGCAATGTTATGTGATACCTGTAATAATACTAATCAATTCCTTCCTCACAAACCTGTGTAACCTATTCATCAGGGACGTCAACAATGCAAACACATTGGCGTGATGTTGATGAAAAACGCCTGTCACGTATTTACCAGAATTGTACCAGGGAGGAGGGACTTTAGTTATGTGGAGAGACTGGAGAAGTTAGGATTGTTCTCCTCAGAGCAAAGAAGGTGTTCAAAATTATGAGGGTTTTGAGAGACAGGGAGAAAGTATTTCCACTGGCCGGTGGGCCAGTAACCCAGGCACCTATATTTACGATAATTGGCAAAAGAACCAGAGAGGAGATGAGGAGACATTTTAGACAGTTGTTACAGTCTGGAATGCACTGCCTGAAAGGCCGGTGGAAACAGATTTAATAACAACTTTCAAAAGGGAATTGGATAGGTACTTGAAAAGGAAAAATGTGCAGGGGTATGGGGAGAGCATGGTGGAGTGGGACTGATTGGGAAGCTCTTCCAAACAGGAGGGATAGGCATAGGCTATCGGCCGAATGGCCGAATGACCTCCTTTTTTTTGTAATATTCAATGATTCTATGACATGATTCTCTCTTATTGCTCATCTGAGATCCTAACAATATGAGTTTATCTTGGTCACATCATCCACACGTATGCGGATGATACCCTTTCTCTCTGCCTCTACCCTTGACTCCAGGATCACTGCTGTCCTGAGAAAATGTCTGCCAGACATCAAGTCCTGGATGAG